TTTTTTCGTGTTTCGCCTCGAAAACTGGTCGAACACCGGTCCGGTGTGTCTGCGCGACTAAACAAATATAACTAAGAGAGGTGGTTCGATGTTAGTTATATGTGCACCTTTCGAGGAACGCAATTGTGTACACTGTCACGGTCCTCATTTGCGTCTGTTCCTTCTCGGCTCGTTTCCTTCATCGACCAGCTTTCCTACACGGTTCAATGGATATACGTTCGATAATTTTTTTTCTTTTTTGTTTTTTCTACCTTCTCGCCTCGATATATGCGTCTCGATTCGATGGAAAATTATCGACGGTAGATATTCTTCAAATATTGTTCAACGGATAGCATTTAATAACCGAGGTCTAAGGAGCAACGTATTTACAGCTGATTCAACAATTTTTCATGTAATCATGTGTTAGATAATGCGGGAATAGAATAAACACGAGTACCTCTAGGAACTTTTTTAATGAACTTTCGGACTTTTCGTGTAAACTTTATCTCAGAAACAGTCTAGACCATTCCGTCGTGGCTGTCATCAAGGGTCAGAATTTGTTTTGGAGTAGATGGAATAACGTACAGCGATTACAGCGTCCTTTGAGTTCCTATCTCTCCTCTTTCTCTCTCTCTCTCTCTCTCGCTCTCGCTTGTACTCCGTGTGTATCGTAATCGTTGCCGATTACGTGAAAACGATTCGTTTTTCTTTGTTTGTCAGAGAAGCAACGAGAGAGAGAGAGCACGGAAAGGTTTAGACGAGAGTGTAGGCTGGCTGATATCCGATATATAGTATACCATCAACTGCTTTTCACAGCTTCGTTGATCGTACTGCGCTTACCACTTTTATGTGGCAATTTAATAAAGCGACCGAGAGTTTGCACGATTTTATTACGTAATCCACTTATCAAGGAAGTCGAGGTTGAAACCTCGCGCGCGCAATGTTGAAAGAAGAAGGCGAACTATTGAAACTCCGCGACACATTTCAGAAATCCTCGATCACGATCGTTAATGTTACCGCCGCGGTGTGTACCGCACCATGATGACGTGCCATTCACCGTGAAAACCATTCACTCAGGGTATTAACAAGGACGTGCAAGGTCGTGCAAGGTCGTGCTCAGCCATCCTGTATTTGTATCGAATATACAACGATACACACCTACGTGGCTCATCGAGAGCACGTGTGTGTGTGTGTACGTGTATGTTACGTATGGATACACGTATATCGAGATTTGCGCGCGAAAACAACGGAACCTGGTATCGATTCGAATGCGTAGAAAATGCTATTGATTCTCTGGGCCGACCCGTCGACCTCTTCTCCACGTTGTACAGCTCCGAGGACTGAGGTAGCACAGACAGAATTCCCTCTCACATTTTCTTTTTCCTCCGTGTTATCCGTTGGAAAAGTTTCATCCCGTTTTTTCATACTTTCCTCGTGCACTTTTTTTTTCTCGCCGCTACGCGCGAGAAATTTGAACGAAAGATGCTGCGCGTTTGGTTGTTGTTTTATTAATTACGTTTCGTTCTGGTTTTCCAGACTTTCCCTTGCACAGTTTTTTCGCTACTATACGCGGGACATTTGAATGATAAATTTTGCAAGTTCAGCAACTGTTACTATTACACTTGTTATTTTCGCTGCTACGCGCGGGAAATTTGAACGATTGATGTTGCGCGTTTGACAATTGTTTATTGTTACGCTTATTAATTATGTTTCATCTCGTTTTTTTTTAAGACTTCCCTTTTTCATTTCCTTCGCTGCTAAGCGCGGGAAATTTGAACGATAGATTTTGGAAGTTCAACAACTGTAATCGTTACACTTGTTATTGTCGCTACGCGCGGGAAATTTGAACGGTAGCTTTTGCGCGTTTGACATTTATTAATTAATATCCCTGTAGCTAGACGTACTATTTGAATTTCTACTATACACGCTTACAGTGTTTCCTTATTTTCGTTGTTTATCACTAAAATTCTTCTTTAGCAATTTCCATAAAACAGCTTCCGGTATTAAACAAGTAATAACGCAAAATATTACAACAACGATTCTCTCGTGTCTGCAGCAGATGATACGGTTTCTTCGTAAACGTGGTGCGACGTTTAGATACCTATTTAACTATTTCTAACCGATTTTTGTCATACGGCACGTAAAGAATTCTACCCTTCGACCGACTGAAGGAAAGTCGTTTCTGTCACATCTTCGCGATCTTGGCGAAACAAATGTTGCGTACGTGACCGTGATTGGGCCGGTGAAGGGGTAAGGAGAGAATTACATAAAAGGCACGAAGCGAGCGAGTCGCCTATTCACCCAACCTACGTCCTCCAGGGTCGAACACCCACGTTCATACTTTGTGCGTATCGTCTCGCAAGCTTATATGGACGATTATGCATGCAGGCGTTATCGTGCACACGCGCGCGCGCACACACGCACACACATGAAACATTTAGAGGACCCGTTCAGGACCGAGTACCAGATTTTCGAGAAATTTTCCGCGTATACAGAAGAATCTCTGCGACACATCGTACAAAACAATATTATCCATCTGGTGTTTCCGTGATCACGCGAACAGATTAATGATTCATATTCGATATGAATCATTTACTTGGAAACAAGTTTGACAGTGTCGTACACTTAATTGCGTGCAGTATTTTTTAACACACCACAAAGTTTCATACGATTTTATAAGAAGTTAATGAAATATACTTGAAAAAAAAAAAAAAGAAAGAATGTTTGATCAATTTCTCGTTCGATTTTTGCCTATACAGATCACGAGAAGGAAGGATATGATAAACTGTGGCCGATGAAGGAGAGAGCACGAGCACGAGTACGAGCAGGAGCACGAGCAAGAACAAGCGGCTTCGTCGAGGAAGGCGAGAAGAAGCGACGACGAGGCGGCGGCAGCAGCAATACCAATAAAAAGATCAACACTAGATCTGATGTTAGCGGACATTAACGGTAACTTGGCGGATCTGAGAAGCGAAGCGATGGCGTCGCAGAGGTTTTGTCTGCGCTGGAATAATCATCAAAGTAATCTACTCTCTGTTTTCGACCAACTGCTCCATGACGAGTCGTTCGTCGACGTTACGCTGGCCGTCGAGGGTCAGTTACTCAGGGCACATAAGATGGTGCTGTCGGCGTGTAGCCCTTATTTTCAGGTAAGAACAGCCGAAACCACAAAGAGAATATAATACAATCGTGAAACTGGTGGAGATATCGCTGAAGGAAATTACGTTTTCTTTCCATCGAGAGGAGAACCCCGATGAATCGCATTCTAGGACATTATTAATAATTCATAACGGTAGATTAATTCATGACGTGTATTAATAATTCATACAAGTTTTCTTATTCGGGTCCTCTTGTCGAATCTACCTATATACCTATATACCTATATATATGTATATACCGATTGAGTGTTTTTATTTATCTCATTGTTTTCTTTTTTCTTCTATCTTTACAGGCCCTTTTCGTCGGCCACCCCGACAAGCACCCGATAGTCATTCTTAAAGATGTCCCCTACGTGGACATGCGCAGCCTTTTGGATTTCATGTATCGCGGAGAGGTCAGCGTCGACCAGGACAGGTTAACCGCCTTCTTGAGAGTTGCTGAATCTCTCAGGATAAAGGGCCTGACCGAGGTAAACGAGGACAAGTGTGACTTGCCTAGTATTACCTCTTCGTTGCTTGGCAATCAAAACACAGTACCTCCACCACCACCGAATCTACATAGAATAAACCAAATTGGGCCTCACCATCACGTCTCGCAGAAGAGGATGCACCATATGTCGAGTCATCCTCTCCTTGGTTCGGCCTTATCCGCGCCAAAGAGGAAAAGGGGAAGGCCGAGGAAGCTGAGCGGTTCCTCAGACACACCGATCGGCGAGATCTCCGGCCAGGAGTTGCAGTCTTGTTCAGGGGCAGATCTTGTACAAGGCTCGCCCGAGATGATGGAAATGAAGATGAGTATCGACTTTCAGAGCGAGGGTACCGGGAATGGTAGTGGAAGAAGTGGGAATGCCGGTGGTGCCGCTTCGGCGAGTAGTAATAACGTGAGCAGCAATAACGTCGGGAACAATTCAGGATCGGCGACGACCGGTAATCTCGCCGCTTCATCCTTGTCGTCGTCGTCGACGACGAGAAAGGACGAGCCGACGGAGAACGGTACAGACACGCCGGAATCATTGACACCTAGAGTGAAACGGGAACCCGAACCAACGCCTAGCACCTCTGCCCAAGGTAAAATATATCTCTGATCGGTGATATAGTTGGATTTTACATAGTATGGATTATCGATCATCTAACTGATTCTTGTTTGTTTATTAGCCTCTGACGAGACGTTTGCGCGGCCGCACAGTAGACAAGGAAGCGAAGGTTTCAAGCAAGGTAAGAGACACCAATGTCAGCTTACACGATTAACAAGTTTTGCGCCATTTTAATCATTATCTGTGTAACAGGAATATTCGAAGCGCGATAACATAAAAAGTCGAGTTCCATCTTTGCTCTTCTTTTCGTATACGATCCACAAATAGCTTAAGCGTGTTTAACATTTTCCCGATTAACGACAAATTCATTGGAAAATATTGGCCCACTTTTTTTTATTTACAAGCTGAGAATCTCGTGACTTGTACAAACGGTCGTTATTGTGTACTAACAAAGGTTTAAAAAGCAATGTTTATTGTATTTATATTTATATATATATATTGATATATTTAAATGTTTATATTTTTATGCAAATAAACGCTTGTAATGTGTAACAAGTAGTACGATGACATTGTAACGAATTTATACGAAGGTCCACAGTATCACTGTCAGTATTTCCATAATTTACAGGAGATAGTTTTTCGTAATAAATCTGCATAATTCCGTTACATGTCTTTCAACGAAGAAGGTGAACGTTCAAATTCTGCCTACTTAACAAATCTAAGCTTATCGATATTTTAATAATTCATTTATTACCCGTTTCAATTTCACTTGCATAAATTGTCAATTCAACTTTTCCTATTATACCATTCGTTGATGTCGATTGACGAATACACGCATATATATATATATATATATATATTCCAGTTTAGCAAAGCTTTTCCATAACGATTTTGTATATTCTAATCCTATTATAACAAATGCTATATCATTTTCTTTACTCATCGCTCGTTTCACCAAGGTGTCCGTAATAACCTTGACACATTTAAACGAGAAGAGAGATAGAAAGAAAAGAAAAAAAGAAACTATTTTACGATGTGCTAATGAATTTAATTTTTCAGAATTTTCGTCCGTTAATTTTACACCTTGTTCATCGTTGCGCGACTGCATATTGATTGCTAAACGCAGTATCGCAGCAAATATTTCCGGGGAGGCTATTTTTTATCATAAACTCAAGTACACTGTAAAAGGCAAAAGTAGAGAAAAAAAAAAATGTCGAGACTACTCAAGTCGATGAATTTGTTGACAAGCGCAGTTTGTTAAGATGTTAACTCGAGGACATCACCTGAGCTAGCATCCTTACACGAAATTAAGGTCAACAAATCTCGAAGAGTGTTTGAAAAAAAACCAAAAAAAAAAATGCATATATATATATATACATGATTTGCGTCTGGAGCAGATGAAATGGTGTGTGGGGTCTCAGGAGTTCATGCGTGTCACGGGTTTCTAAAGTCGGCCTGTTAGAAACAAA